CCGCCCGAGCGAGGTGTGTGTATATGCGAGATGTGCGAGCGCAAGGGGCGTAGAGAGTGGAGAGTGTGCTGCAACAACGCGCGATGATGGTGAGGGTGTGTGTGTGTGTGTGTGTGTGTGTGTGTGTGTGTGTGTGTGTGTGTGTGTGTGTGTGTGTGTGTGTGTGTGTGTGTGTGTGTGTGACAGGTGAGAGGGAACACACACGGGTTAGCTGTCGAGAACTCAGTCATCTCCTGCGTTGCCGACTCTTGTGTATGTGTGCATGTGCAGAGACGTTTGCAGAGAAACTTGAGAACAAGCAAGAACCATGCTGTCTCGTGTTGTCGCAGCCCGCGGGCTGCTTGCTCAGGTGCGTGTGTGTGTGTGTGTGTGTGTGTGTGTGTGTGTGTGTGTGCGCGTGCGGGTTTGTCTGCCTGTTTGTCTCTCTGTCTCTCTGTCTCTCTGTCTCTCTGTCTCTCTGCGTCTGTGAGAGCTGTCAAGCCGCGTCAGCATCAGCCTCCTCCTCAACCGACTTCCCGTCTTCTTGCTTCTCTGGGACGCGTTGCCGCTCATCACCACCATCAACACCACACACGCAGACGCCCGTGCTGACGGCCGTCCGGTGCTCCAGCACCAAGACCCCTTTGATGAAGAAGTTCTCCATCTACCGCTGGGTGAGTGCAAGAGAGAGAGAGAGAGAAGGGGGGTAGAGACAGCAAAAGAAAGAAAGAGAGAGAGAAAGAGAGGGGGGAAGAGAGAAAAGGCAATAGACATCCGCACATGCAAACACACACAAACACACACACATCCACGCGCAGATGATGTATCCGCAACGTATGTTGTCAACAAAACCGAACCATAGCACCAGTTGTCTCTTGCCCTCACCACAAAGATGCGTGCGTGATTGCGCTTTCTCTTTTCTCTCTTTGCTTCCCTCTTTCTCTAACTTCAGGACCCGGAGAAGCCCGGTGACAAGCCCCACCAGCAGACCTACGAGATTGACCTGAACGAGTACGCCACTTGACGCCCTGCTGGTTGTGTGTGTGGGTGTGCGTGTGGGTGTGTGCGTGTCTGCTCACATGTACTCACCTTGCACCGTTAGTCGCCGTTCTCCATGCATGCATGCTCACGCGCACCCGCCTTGACGACGCTTTGTGCCGTTGCGTAGCTGCGGCCCGATGGTGCTTGATGCGCTCATCAAGATCAAGAACGAGGTCGACCCAACGCTGACCTTCCGCCGCTCCTGCCGTGAGGGTATCTGCGGCTCCTGCTCCATGAACATTGACGGCACCAACAACCTCGCCTGCCTCTGGTGCGTTGTGGGGTTGTGTGTGTGTGCGTGTGTGTGTGTGTGTGTGTACGTGTGTGTGTGTGTGTACGTGTGTGTGTACGTGTGCGTGCGCCTGCGCGCGTGTGTGAGTGAGAGTGAGAGTGAGAGTGTGTGTACACTTCTGCATGTGTTTTCCGTCCAAGTGTGCTTCTGGAGACTTTGTTGCATGTGTTCCCCCACTAAACACACTCTCAAGTCACACTCACACGCCATGTTCCCGCCTCCTGTCATCCTCGTCCCTACCACCACCACGACGAGCGCAGCCCCATCACCCGTGATGGCTCTGAGATGAAGATTCGCCCTCTGCCCCACATGTATGTCGTCAAGGACCTCGTCCCGGTATGTTCACTCTCTCCACACCTGCCACTTCTTGGCAACTCTTGCACGCGCGCGCACGCACGCATGCATGTGTTTGCACAAACCACAATGCCGCTTGCTTCCTCGCTGTTCCACCACCGAAACACCAAATGCTGCCACGCATCTCTCTGCTGCCGTTTCCAACCACCGCCTTGCTGCTGCTGCTGCTGCTGTTTTTTGTTGTGCGCAGGACATGACCAACTTCTACCAACAGTACAAGGCGATTGAGCCGTGGCTGCAGACGTCCAAGCAGCCCGAGGATGGCAAGGAGTTTCTCCAGTCCATCGCAGACCGCAAGAAGCTTGTGCGTTGAACGCGTGGGATGGGATAGGGGTGGGTGGGGAGTATCGTGGCCGTGCTTTCTGCCAACAACAGGTCACTACACACACACACACACACACACACACACATGCTCACACACGCATGCTCACCACCACTGTTTGTTTGACCGCATGTGCCCTGCTGCTGTTTACTGCCGTCAGGACGGCATGTACGAGTGCATCCTGTGCGCGTGCTGCAGCACGTCGTGCCCTTCGTACTGGTGGAACGGTGACAAGTACCTCGGCCCCGCCGCCCTCATGCAGGCCCGCCGCTGGATGGCCGACTCTCGCGTACGTCTGTGTGTGAGTGTGTATGTGTGTGTGTATTTGTGTGAGTGTGTGTGTGTGTGATAGTGTGATAATCCTTTCACGCGCGCTGTTTTGCTGTTGTCGCCTGCTCACCTCACACAACCTAACCTCACACCACCTCACCTCACGTCACCTCACCACACCACACCACGCCACCTCTCCTTGTCCCTGACTTCTTTGTAGGATGAGCGCAAGACGGAGCGCA